GTACGGTCCTGGTGAGTGATGGAGCCAGGGCCGGCCCAGGAGCAGTGCAAGCTGGGCGACCGTCCAGGGTTCCAAAAAATTAGGGCACTAAAATTATTAGAGTGGTGTATTCAAATATGTGAGTATTAGTTTTTTAAATTTGGTTAAATGACAAAGAAATTTAACTAAAATTAGTGGCTTTCATTCTTTAAAATTAATGAGGAGGTCTTGGGTTTTAAACACCATGTGTGGTTATATCTAAAAGTTTGACCATAAGAAGTGGTGCTTTATTTTGTTTAAAATTAAGAAGGAGGTCTCTAGTTTGAAACACTATGTGTGTTTTTAAATTTCCAACTTTACAAATTTCTTTTCATAAGAGTTTAAATTTATGACATTTGGCTAACTTTTCAAGAGGTTTAGTCAGAAGCAATGATTTTGTTGCTTAAAATTAACGAGATTTCCTGAGTTCGAAATGCTATGTGCATGTTTATTCTTTTCAATTTTTACGAATTTTTGTTTGGTTGTTAATTCCTTTTTAATTACTAGCTAGTAGCTATGTGGGTTGCAGTTTTAAATAGTCGTTCCAATTCAAGTCGAACCTTCAACAAAAAGTAATGTATAGACCAAATCTGCAAATCATATGATGTGTCACCACCAGGTTTAATTTAGTGTTCATTCATTGCTTTTATATATATATTAAAGACTAGAAAATATCATTAACTTTTTAGTCCCATATTGACAAGGTTAGTAATTAAGAAAAAATAAATAACGATTTATATAAAAACACTTTAAAAGTTCAGATAGAAAGTAAACAAAACTCATCATTTATATACTTGTAATCCCTTTTTTGGTTCCCTTCTCTTGATACAAATTAAATTAGTTGTTTGGTGTTTTTAAATTATGAGTCTGAAGTGGTTTTCTAAGTACAATTTTATCGAAATCTTACATGTGAAAATAGATAATTTTCTTATATGAAGTTAGAACACATTTTTTGACGTCGCTCCGGACCTACAAAATCTCAAGGCCGGCCCTGGACGGAGCCAAGCACATAAGCGCTTAAGGATCCATTGATCAAGTAGAGAGCAAGCTGGCCCTTTTGGACCCAATCTTCAAACTAGGGGTTGACAGTGTCCTCGGTTTTGTTTCCATCATCGTCGCCGGAGAGAAACTGAGGTGGACATGGAGAAGAACCATCCACAAAAGACATTAGTTTGTGAATCTTAAGCACGGGAACAATTTAGGCCAACCAAACAGGGTAATTCTTGCAGTCGAGTTCGACGTTGATAACGCGAAAGACGTTGGGAACACAGGCAGCAGTAGAAGAGGAGGTCACCATTGGAAAAATAAGTACAAAACAAAAGAACAAAGTTTGAATATCAACTCGATGAAATTGAGTGAGTGTAGAAATATGAGTAATTGTATTGATGTGTTGAAAATATTACAATCTATATATAGGGATATAGACTTACAGTAATTCTTATTTAGGTCGGAATATTACCCTAAGTACAATTGAAAATTACATTCACATATTACATGCTACAATCACAGAGATAATTCTGAATTAATTAAGGATAATCTAATAGTGACTCATGCATCTCGTATAAATACTAAAAGAAATATAAAACATGTTTCGGGGCAGATATTTTTTGGTTGAAGAAATATCCAACAGATTCTCAGAATAATGTTGGCAAATCAAAATAATTAGTGCAGCCGGTGGGGGGAATCGGATTTACTTGTAAGCCAAGTGAATCCTACAAATTGGGTCACGCCGGGAGAAGGATGAAGACCTTCCAATAATGGTTCAAATTTATGCATTTAATTATTTCGTAGGAAAAATAAAATAGTTAATTAAATTAATTAAGTAGTAAAGTTACCATTTAGTATATCCATTGGTTATAACTAATAATTTTTTTTTGGGTCGAACGATAGATTTTGTTAGATTAACTAATTGACAATATCTTTAATTGTCATCTCTCATCCAATGTCCCACACCATACTTTCGTTAAAAAAGGGAAATTTTTTCTTTTGTGCAACTAAACTACAAAGTAAATTCTTTTTGTTGAAAGAGGAGTGTTACCCTTTAACAACGGCGCGAGTTTAAACTCCGTCGGTTCCCTAATTAATCTAACATATGATTCAACAAATCTATCATTTAACCAAAATAAAAAAAAAAAAAATCTTTTTGTTGATGTTTCCAATATTGAATTGGTGTGATATGATATGATATGCTTTAGGTAATTGAACTTCTTGCTGGCTCGGCTTAGCTCATTTTCATTGAGTTTAACTTTTAATCTTGATCCTGACCAATGATAATTGAAAATGACGGTGGGTTTGAATAATCAACTTTGACCTCGTTTCCTGAATCCAATTTGTTTGTCTTTGAAACAAAAGTGTACTAGGTAATTTAGTTATTTTGATGCTACAAATTGTGAGGACCTTGATTCAACATAAAGTGTGATATAGTACCTTAGTAAGGGTGCTTCGGTTACTAAGTAATGATGATATATAAAGAGATAGGGATATAGAAGTAGACACGAGATGTATGTGGTTTACCTTAGGTTGGACTACGTCCACAGAATTAGAGGAGTTGTCATTATGGGATGTTTACATAATATAAGGGTTTAAGCATAATTAGAGAACTTAGTGTGAATTACGGGTCCTAAGATTCCAGATATCTTAATTGTGGGAGATAGTCTCATTTTATAATCATTTTGGTCATCTCTAACCAAATGGGCTAAATATAGTATCATCCATGTTTATAGCCTAGCAAAAAATTGTTTTTTAATGAACAAGCCATATTTATATATTATCTTCAATGTAAGGAGCTAAATATAACCCCTGAATAATTTATCAGTATTAATTTTATTGGTTGAAGTTACATAAAATATGCATACATACATCAACATCCTCATCTTGAATTGAGGAGAGAAGGAGGACTAGGAAGAGTAGAGAGAACGAGCGAAAGATAAGAGATACAAAGAAGAAATTCAAAAAGAAAGAAGAGAAAGACGGGAAAAACAAAACCGGGCTTGCTATGTTTGGCAAGCCTGATGGCCTTTGGTCAGCCCGATGTTGATTAGGATTTAACGAGTTTGTTAGAGACGGTTATTTTTAGCTTTCTTTGCCCATTTTTTAGATTTGAACTTTTAGTCTTCTTCACTAGAGATGGCCTTACAGGTAAGGAGAGTCCCCCATTCTTGTCTGTTGTCAATGTGGGACTCTAGAAACGTCGTTGTAACTAGTATTGCCACCTGTCCTTGAGCAAGTGGGCTTCATGTTGGAGGAATGGAGAGCTGACTTGTTTGAGGTTGGTTCGTGTGCTTTGCGAGTGACTCAGTAAGAATCTTTTGGAGGATTATCGAGTAGGGTTGGGTTCAAAAAATCGAAAACCGAAAAAAACCGAACCGAGGCTGAAAAAAACCAAACCGAAACTACCAAACCGAACCGAACCGGACTGAACTGAACTGAAAAAAAAAATCATATATAAATACTAAAAAATACATGTTGCCGTCAGGGTTTGAACCCTTTCTCTGTGGGTTGGGGTTGGTTGCTGCAAGCCAACTTGACTGTAGGCTTTGTGTTGTTATAATTGTACTAGTAATTTATTTATAGGTTTCTTGTGTTTAATGCTTTATAAAATTTCTTAACTTTACAAACCCTAGCTGTTCAGTCCCATTTCATTTCAGATCTCAAACACCTCTCTGTTTCGTCCACTGCTTCCTCTTTGCCTTTGCTTCCTCTCTCTCATTCTCTCCCTCCCTCCCTCCCTCTCCCTCTCCTTCCTCTCTTCCTCCAAATCACTCTCTCTCCAGTCTTCTCCTGTCCTCCTCACGGATTCCTTCTTCCAAACCATGATTTTCCCTCGCCCCTTTCGAGACCCGACGAAAAGGGGAATTGAAAGAGCTTGCGACGATCATGGCGATATCGCTGCAACAAAGGTTGTGGTTTTATTTATTTATTAGTTCATAGGTTTTTAATTGTATGGTTACCCATTTGAAATTTATGTAATTTAAGGTGAAAAAGTTTGTATTTTTCTCTGAATATGGTTACCTATTTGGAATTTTCGAGATCTATTGTGGACTTGACTATGAATTTGAATGTGGGCACTGGGCATGCGATATTGAAGTCCGATTATGGTATTTAGAAGAACCTAATTGCTTTTTTTTTTTTTTTTTTTTTTTGCGATTTACATCGATCAGTTAATTTGTTGAGTTATTTCATGATTTTGTAAATTTTAAAGTTTTTGAATTTTGAATCCTGGCGATGTACATTTCCTTGAAGAATATATGTTTATGTATTTGCTTAACTTTTGAAAATTTGAATTCGATCTGCTTAATCACAGGTAGTTGAATTACTTGAATATATTCAGGATTTTTAGGCTCTCAATTCTCTGATATATGAGAACTGGGAGGTTGATATGTAGATTCCTTCCATTTACATCATTTGAAAAATAAAAAAAAAAAACCGAAAAAAACCAAAACCGAACCGGAAAAAACCGAAACCGAAAAAACTGAACCGAAAAAAATGAACCGAACCGAACCGAACTGAAATTTTGGTTCGTTTTCGATTTTGGCAAAAAACCGAACCGTTTTGAACCGAACCCAACCCTATTACCAAGGTTTCCTGGTTGACAAGTAGTCGGTGGTTTCAATGTATAAGTTGCTGGTACAAACAAGTTATATTTATCATTTTTAAAGACTATAAATCATTTGCAAATTGAATACCTAAAATCCCTAAACTCTATTAAAATTAAACTCAATTGGTTAAAATGTTCATTGAGATTAAAATAACTTATTACTTTGGTCTTTGCCAATGAAAATTAATTGAAGTGGTTTCTGAGTTTGTCCACTGTAAATCATTTTGGTTAATAAGTGAAAAATTTGTCCATTTCTTTGTTACATTATCACGTGAACGACTATGTGATTACCTTTTTAAGGGTATTTTTGTCATTACCCAAAGTGTAGGCACGCGAGCTGGTTGGAATGTCACGTGCTTCACTCTTTCTCCGAAGTCCGCAGAGTTAAGAAGAAAAAAGAAGTGTTGGATCAAAATCATCCGATTAGATTTGCCTGATTTTTATATTTTAATTTCTATTAATTTCCGCCGGAGCTGTGGGTTAGGGTTTTTCTGAAATTTGAGATGGGAATCTAAAATGCTTCCTTCCAAATTTCCAATTCCATTAATGCTTGAAAATTTGAGATGGGTTTTGGCTTTTTCTTGATTTTGGCAGATTAAATTTGAAATTTAAAGGTATAGGTCTATAATTTGCTGCGAATTAATGTTGTTAATGGATAGATAATATTGCTGCAGATTGATTGCTCATTTGCTTGTTTTTATCAAATTCAGAGTTTCTGGTTGGGTAAGATTAGGCCAGTTTATTTGATGTAGGGTTTAGGGTTGATTGCCGGCCGCAGTCACAAGATCCTTCAGGTGCTAATATTTATATCAAGAGGAACAAAAATACTACTATAATTTGAATATATGTACATAGTAATTTGATGCTGTTCAATTGTTCATACAACTTGTGTTTCCAAACCCAATAGAGAATTCAATAAATTTGATGCTGTTCATTTCGATTGTGTAATTGTTACGAAGAGATATTTGACAAGGATCGTAGAATTTAATTAAATAGTGTCATGAATTCACTTCAACCATTATCTTCTTTTGAGTTTAACCTTTCATAGCTTTTCAGGGTTTTTTGTGGAATTGATGAATTTTCTCATGTCACTACCATAGTTTTTTCTTTCTTGAGATTAGATTACCAGTTAACCAAATAATACTCTGCAGAAAAAACATAGCTTAAATTGCTAATATTCTTTTGCTTTTTAAATTTAAGGTGCAAAATTTTTTGTTTCTTTCAAATGAATTTTTATTGAGTAACTCCTGCGTTTGTATGTCAAGATCAATGACATATAGAGGGCGTGGATGCGGTGGATTTTCAGGTGGGGGCGGTTTTGGCTTTGCTAAGCAAGAGCCTTTTGTGCTTTTTCCTGTGAGTTTTTGTTGCTGCAGTTTTGGCAAATTTTGCATAAGTTTTGGAACTTTGCTAGGTTTCCATGAATTAGAAAAAGACACTTACGGCTGTGTTCCTACTTTCCGTATTTAACGTCAAAATTTTACTTTGCAGGACATTGATTTGCGTATTCCCAAAGGTATATCTTATCTAGAGAAAAAACACACTCTTACTGAGGAAGAAAACTTAATCAATCAAACTCGCAAGTTTCAAAATATTTGGAAAGGCTTTCCTTATTATCTTGAGCAGAGCCCTTCGAATGGTTAGCATGTTGTGGTTTAATTTTCATTATTTTTGTTTATTATCAGTACAAGTGGTAGTGGAATAAGCAATCTATGTTTAATTTGCATATTCGATCTGTTTTTCCCTTTCTTTTTCTCTATAAAATATGAATCCTAGCCATTATTTTGATGTTGCGGAGAGCATTTCCATTGTTGTTGTATGTTTGAAAATTTGAACTCATTAAATAGACTAGCAATGTTGTAGAGATACTTGTATGCTGTGTACAGTGAAAGTTCTGTTTATGCAGTTCCAATGAAATTCATACAGATATGTTGATAAGCTTGGATCTTAAAAAGTAATCAAACAACATGGATATGGTTGAAGATAAAAGTACATATTTATAGTGAATCTGAAGTTGATCTCACCAACGTTTATAGTTAGATGTAAGAAGCTCACACATCCCTTCCAAAACCAATAACATTCTTCTGTTTGTGACCATTATGCATAGTGGCACACTATCATCAAATGTTTAATTGAAGAAGATTCATAAATAGCAATAATTTCTGACATTCGTGTTGCAAGGAGCACCACTACTAATTCCTGTTTAAATATAATGTTCAAGAATTTTTGCTATAGGTGCCTTATATCCAACACATGAATGCTTACACTATTCTTTTTATTTGAATACCATAATGCTTAGGATTTGATTCTTGATTATTTTTTGGATTCTTTTGAACCTATACCAGATTATGTTTGATAATAATACATTTCTTTAACATGTGGTCGTAGAGAAGCAAAACATGGATGTGGAAAAATATTCTGACAGGACAAAGCCAAAAACCATGATAAGACGCGGTTCTCTTTTTAGTATATTGGAGCTCAAGGGATTTCCTCAAGAACTGACTGGAGGTTTCCAATCTGAATAATCGTATTTAAAAAATGGGAATAGCATTCAATATTAATGCTCTATTTTGGTTTTATGGCTATCTTTTTGCTTTTGATATGCATGCTGATGTGATGGTATTTCAGGTTCAAGGGTACAGCAGCCTGGCCGAAAGAGAGTTAGATGGAATCCTGACTCAGGTTCTATAAGATTAGATGTTTTGTTTTACTGTTGTCTTCTTTCATCTCTTTTTGGGGCTCTCTTTGCTCCTCAGAGATTCTGAATATAACTGATTAAAAAAACACAGACAGAGCTGGTGAAGTTGGATTTATTTGAAAAGCTTGAGCCGGTGTCAGGTGTGAGAAAGTCTTTAGAATCTCTGTAACTACAATACTTTGGGTCAAATATCACTTATGAAAAGAACCTATATTATTTGTGATCTAAAGATTTCTTGTCATCGGTAGTTCAATTTTTGTATGCATTAAGATAACATTTCTCCTTTGTAGTGCCAAAATGATGCAAAAGAAAAGAAAGAATGTGAAGGTGAGGATGTAAATGAAAATGAGGAGGAGGCGGAACCAGAGGACGAGGACTTTAGTGATGATGATTACTGTAAGGTTCGTAAAGGAAATATTGGGTCTAATTTATGTATTAGATTTTTAACTTAATTAAAAGTTGTCACTTCAATATTGTCATTGGTTGTACTTTGTTTATGCTCACTGTTGCAGTTTTCATTACTTGTATTTGCCACCTGATTCCTCACATGTTTGTTAGAAGTTCTATTCACAATTTTCAAGTTCGGAACTGGGAGGCATGTTGACTCAGAATGAATAACGGCTATTTTAATTTCGTTTCCTGTATAAGGTTTCTGTTCATATTATTTTGCTGTTTCTGGTAGGATTAGGTTTTGTGTCCTCTCGACTGGGAAAACAAAATGTGTCTAATCAAACTATGGTCTTGCAGAACTCTGATTTTGAGGATGATGAAGATGATTATAATATGGAAGATGACGGTGACGGTAGGACACATTTATCTGATCCACTGCAGTTTTTATCATACTGTTACAATATGGAATAATTGAGCTTGTGGATTTACTAATGAGCTTACGCTTTTGGTTTTAATGATGCAGGCGAACCTCTTTTATAGCGAGAAGGTGTAGCGTACGACGGATACATCTCATGTCTCTTCAATAAAACGGGGTATGGCTGTGCAATTAGTTACTAATTTTCTGGCACAAAGCTCTTGTTCTTCGAGGAAATGATATCTCAGTCTGCCAACATTATAGCTTATTGGATTTTGTTAATACGAGGTCAGTCTTGCATTGATGATACATGTCTTGCATATAAACCAAAAATGTTATATATAACACTACTGCCTTAATTCCATAACTGGCAACTAGCAGCAAGCGCACACACAAGGTTAGCCATGCCACATTTCGTATTCCAAACGCTCAATCATAACACTTTCCTTCTTAAATTGTTCCCTCTAATATTATAAACTAAGCAGCAATGAGAGGATAGGAAACAGAAACTCATTGCCATCGTCCAACGCCAAGAATCATTGGAGTAGATGGGGGCTGCAGCACATCACTACCAGAGGAAATTCCATATTTTATATATGGTTTGAATAGCTGAACAGAAAAGCTTTGTTCTATATGTTAATCACCAAATCTCTAATGGTATCTATTGTTAAATGATGTTTTGGGATCATGAGGGGGAGATTAATTTGAAGATGTATGCAGGTGCTACTTATATCGCAATACATTGGTTTCGAAATTACCCTCCTCTTCATTTGACCATTAGCGTGAGCTGGGTTTTTGCATATCTTTTGATTGCAAAGACAATATATCCTTATGCATATGTTTTTGTATATTTAACATGCAATCCGTCTTTGATATTCAAATCAAATGTAAACATACAAGACTCATTAAGTTTTGTGAAAACCCTTTGAAAAACCATACAACCCTTAAGATGTGACATTCGCCCTAAATGAACTTACAATTATTAACCACAAGAAGCATTTCTCAATTTCGAGGTGACATTCTAACAGAAATTGCATTGATTACTTATCTAACTAAACATCCTAATGGTAGCTAACCATTAAGACATAAAAATTGTTTAGACACAGTGATTAATAATTCAAAGTATGCATGCATAATATCTAAGCAATTAAATAAAGATTACATATTCATGTTAAGCCTCGTGACTTCACCCTAACAAAAGGGATTAGTTACATACAGCCATAAAACAAAATATTATTAAGAACATGGATAGAAAACACCTTCTAAATAAACTTAAATTGTGAAAAATTCTCTAGTTGCCGAATTCTCCAAAATAGTGCATAGAGAACCGTACTGGTTAAATAACCTTATTTATACTACAAAGTAAAATCCTTCCTAGAAAAGGTTTTCTAAAAACCAAGAAATAAAATAGAATAAGATAACTAGGAAATACATTTCTATTTTAACTTTGGAAAATCTAGGTAGCCACAAAGAATCCCACATTTCTTGAGCAAAACACCTTCAAATTGGACCCAAGATGACTCTTTATAAAGTTTAAGATTCCTAAACATAGCTTCAAAAGGGCCCATCACCAAAATATACCATCTTGGACGTCAAAAAATCCGAGTAAGCCCAAAACGTCACTTTGACAGCACTGTGCATTGCTCCTTTATTTCATTGCCATAAAGTATCCATTTGGTTGAAAAGTTTGAAATTTTGACACAAACAAGCTGAGAGACTCACGCACATCCTCCAATTAGAATCATTTCAAAATTCGTCAATTTGAGCACTTTTTGCTCGAGAGGAAGTTGAAAGTCCTACATTGGAAACATGGCTGGCCTTGGCCTAGTGCTAGCTGGGCGACTGTCGGGGCCTCAAAAAATCAAGGGCACAACAAAATTATGAGGGTAGTGTATTCATACATGTTTCCATAAGCGTATAAATTAAACAATGTTTGGTTGAATCATCACGAAGTATATTTAGAGGCGGTGGGTTTGTTGTTTTGAAGTCTAGATTTATTATTTGGCTTCCCTTGTCAAAGGTTGTAAATTTTACCGTACATGCCCTAGTTAGATTTAGGATTTAAATGCTACTTTGGGATCATGCTGCTGGAAATATCATTTCAAGAGCTTAACTTCTCTCATCAAAGGTTTGTTCATTCATATGCATATCATGCCATTGTTTCCAATTCATTATGTCTAGTGGGTCTATCTAGTCAAAACTTCTTATTGCTTTTGCACGGGCTGGGCACACACTTTAAGACAACCCACATGGATCATCTGACAGCTTTTTCCAGAAAATGGATTTTCACCTTAGATCTTTCTAGATTGCTTTTGCACATGACACATAGCTTTTCTTGTTTGAAACTCAGCCTGCTTTATAAAGGCCATGTTAGGGTTCATTTGGTTTTTGGGGTTTGAGATTGGAAATTTTTTTGAGAGTTTTATTTTCATCTCTATCTTAGATCTCCTAGGAACATCAAGCATATTTTATGGGTAATGTTCTTCATTGAATATTTCTAAACCTATCTTTGAATTTGGTTGCTTAAATTCGTTTTCTATGCTATTTGTTTTGACTAGGAGTTTTATATTTTTAGAAAAGAGTTGATTTTAGCTTTGAGCTACCTCTTGTATTCTTACCTGAAAACCCTAGCCACAAAATCACACTCATGCACTAAATACCCACATCATTGCATATTAGGTAGCATTATTTTTGTGATTTTGATTTCTGTTTTAGGTCAAGTTTTTCCAAGTTTCAAATTTGTGAACTGACCTAGTTTTTGGATTCTTGTCAGTTTCATCCAAGTGTTTGACTGGTGAAACTAACTAGACCTCGAATCCAGATTTGCATATCATTATATGCATAGTTTATGTGTCGGTCTCGGTGCCACAAAGTGAAAAGTTCAGGAGGAGCTATCATCTTGTGAAGACTGGAGACAACACTGTTTTGGTGCCACAAGATGAAGAGCTCAGGAGGAGTTGCCACTTCGTGAAGACCAAAGGAATCCATCTTGTGTAAGGCAAAGTTGCACAAATGTAAAGCTGCTCCGTAGATAGGGATCTAGGAATTGAACTTGTGTGGTCTTTGTATGAACCTTGATTATACTAGTGGATTGGACTAAGTGGAGAGTACTTGGTTTTTTAACCCAGAGGTGGGTTTTTCAGGCCAAAAATTTTCTTGTATTCAATGCTATACATAGCTTTCTTTTTGACCAAATAACCATTGCTAAAGATAAACGTTGTAGGGTTTGCGAGTATTAACACATTGTTAACCAAATAAACATAACTCGAGAATTAAGGCTAAAACATAATTGAAGATCACACTGTCTTGTTTTAGCTTTATAAGTTTGCTTGGTTTATATGATTGTGGCCACTTAACAATCTGTACTCTGTTGACTAGTACGTTCGACTAGTCAGTACAGTTGATTTCAAAGTTTACACTGCATATTATGAGCAATGAACTGAATTTTTGTTGACTAAAATAACTTGTACTGAACTAAGTTTGATTCATAGATTTGCGTTTGTTTAACTAATACAAATTTGTACTTAGTTGCTTGGTGAGCTTGACTAGTAATCCAGCATGCTTTAATTCATAATTGCTTTATCATTGCTGTTTACATAATGAACTGATATGTAAATGTGTTCAAGCTTAAGGATTATTGTCATGACACTAAACTGGGCAGTCTCTGATTAGTTGGACATATTGGTCAATTTGGTTTTGCTCTTGCAACTGCATTTTTTATCACTGACTAACTTGTAACTAGTTGACTAGCTCATTTGACTAGTCTACTGTGCAAAGTTCAATTTTTATTTGCAGAAGATTCCACCTAGTACCCAATTTTAGTTGTGTATTGGTAACAACAAGGTCGCGGGTTCAAGCTGGTATCTACGTGCCTTTTTCTTTGCAGTTTTTTACTAACTTTTGTCAAATTCCTTTGACCTTTGATAATAGTTAGTAGCTATGAGTGGGTTGCATGCTTTTGACATTCATTCCAATTCAAGTTTTGAAGGAAGATTTGTGAAAAACAAGTTCATTTGAGCAACATCAACAACATGCAATTAACAATTAAAAGGCGGAATCATGTTTATATGCACTCAAAAACAAAACTTAACCCATGAACTTCAAAGCCTAGTAGATAGGTGAACCAAGACTCAACTCAAAACAAAATGAGTTGAGAAATCAATACCTTTGTAGATTCCTCTTTGCATAAGCAAAGGCTAATCACCCAAAGAGAGGGCCTTCATTCCTTGCATCTTAGATCCATGGATTTGGATGGATGAAAAGGTTTCTCCAAGTTCCCAAAATTGAGAACCTCTAAGTCTCCACACCAAGGCATAATGAAGAAGAAATGAGTGACCTTGAGGAAGTAAGATTGCTAGATGTTTTCCTCAAGGGTGGCCGAAATTTTAGAGAGAAAGGAGAGCTTGTGTTCTCATCCTTTCCCCAAAAATAACCCTTAATGAATTTTGGCTATTAAGTCATACTTATTCCTTAATTCATTTGAGTGGCAAACTTGTAAATAAGTCCAAAACCACTCCTTCTCTAACATGGCCGGCCTAAGGGGATTTATTGGGCTATTTGGGCCTTTTTGAATCATTATTCATTAAGTTGTCATACAACTTAAGTCAATGGACTTGACGTTCGAAGCCCATTGGGCCTTAAGGTCCAAAACTATCCCGAGGTCTTTTAACGAACTTATTCGTTTGATTAATTAACATATTAATTAATCCTTGCCATAAATAATTAAACCATTTAATTATTCTTACTCATCTCCGTTGAATCTTCAATCTCTACCTTACACGGTGTACGATCCATTAGGTTCCTTTTAGCGAGGCAGTGGGCGATTCAAACTCTTTCAAATCGATTGTGAATTGAAACTTACTTTCAATTCTCCCTTTAGTGTTTATACACGTTTAGGGCTTCCACAAACCATGGTTGACGCCTAGCAGCATGTCATGGTTACCCAAGCTAATCAGAAGAGGTGGAGAACCTATTCAGTTTTAGGATTACAAATGCAATACGGTCTTTCTCTAATACAATACTCTTGACCACATTGTTTGGTTTGATAGTTTATTCATGTCTACTATCCAATGTGAATCTTGTACTTATATGATTACCTTGAATGTGATCTGGAACGCATTCCAACATCTCATTTATACTCTGGCCAGAGATTCTAAATCATATCATAGAGTATTCTCCCTCAAACAGTTTGAAGGTTAGAGATCCCTTGTTGCGCATTCACTTGCCTCCATGGCTAAGTGGCTTAACCCCGACGATGCCGTGGACACCCTGATAGAGTGACTTTGACATAATCAAAGATCAAGTACCTAACCACAAGACAGCTGTGATGCCTCAGGTCAAAGGACTACTTTGCATTATCCCAACCATGAGTTCTCATGTGACATGAATATGAGAACTCCTCGTTGATCGTGTTCAGTGAACTCATTCTCTATTGAGCACCTACATGTTTGTCTTGGTGTCACTCACACCAATGACTCGAGACTAGTCACTCTCCCTTAGAGAAGACACAGCACGTACTGATCTTAACGGACTGTCAATGCCCAATTGGCAATCCTATGATCAGGAACGTTTAGGATGTGTCTACGAAAGAATGGTCTCATGAATCTAACTTCTTTAGATCGCATTCTCCCAATCACATATTCCTTGGACTTATCGTTTAAGCATATAACATTTATATGAGACGGCTCAAACAATAATGTTTGCCCTTAATATTAAACTAGATTAGTTTAACATGTGAAATGTCCATAAAGTATCATC